GTGCCCAGAGAGCGGCCAGTGCAAACAGGAACCAACAAATAAACATAACAACAAGGAGAGCTGATTATGCTCCCTTTGGGGCTGTTTTAATTCAGAAACAGATGGGTAGATTATGGAAGATTCGCATTTTGGTGGTTAGTGACTTAAATAGCATCTAAGCAGTAGGTAGAAAATGCAAGTCATGCTTTTCCCTTGGCTCACACTTTAGGTCATGCCATGCAGATCACTTAGGAGACTTGGGAAGCTTTGGGAAGGTAGAACTGCTCCTGATGCTTTGCTTTTATGTTAAGAGTGTCATGCTTTTCCCTTGGCTCACACTTTGGGTCATGCCGTGCAGATCACTTAGGAGACTTGGGAAGTTTGGGAAGGTAGAATTGCTCCTGATGTTTTGCTTTTATGTTAAGAGCGCAGTCTTTTGAATGCTCAGGTGCTTATGCTGTCATATTAATTGCAAAAAACTCCAAACGGTGGCATTAGTAAAATGCAACGATGGGGAATGTTTGCAACAAGAAAGGGCCGCACCACCCCTTAGGTACAACCTTCCTGCAAACCCAATGGCTTGTTGGTCATGTTGGCCTTGGCAGAACTGCTCTGTAAAGAGAAACGAGAAAGCGTTCCCAGCATGTTAAGGCGATGGGACATGCCAGGCACGATACGGCTATTCCATGGAAAACGGCCCTTGTGCCAAAAGCAAAGGATGCAGGCGGAGCTCCTGTGGCATGGGGGAGCCAGCAACGTGGTGACCTTGTCCTGGATGCCGCTGGATGGTGAGCGGAGCATCTCCAGGAGCTTCCTGGTGCTCAATTCCAGCCCCATGGTGGATCCAGATCCAGGGGCCCAAGGAGATGCCACCACCCCAATGCCCAATGCAGGTGCACGGCGAGACCCAGGGACCCGCAGAGCATCATTGCCCACCCCGGCCCCCTCTCCTCACCAGTTGCACTCGGGGGGCACCAGCTTGTGCAGCTCCTCCAGGGACTTTTCGGAGCGGTACTCCTGGATGAAGGCCACGGTGACCACGATGAGCACAGCCTGCAAGCAGAGCCGCGTCAGGGCCCCGGGGCCGTGCGCGGGCTGGACCGGGTGACAGGAGGGCCACCTACCATGGTGATGCTGGCCGCGTCCTCGTACTCCCTCGTGACCACGCTCACCAGAGCCGAGGCCAGCAGCAGCAGAATGAGCGGGTTTTTGAACTAAAAAGGGAAAAAAGAATAACGGAAAAAAGATTGCAGTTCTGTAGATATTAAATATGGCATTGCTGCAGCCAGGCTGGCACCCAGCTTCTACAAAAAGCATTGCAAAGGTGGTTTTTTCCCTATATTCTCTTTGTGGCTTTGTGCTGCCTTTCCTCACCCAGGGCTAAGTCCTTCCTGGGACATGCAGGACCGGGCACAGCGAGAGCAGCGGGAGCTCCCCTAAAGCCCCTTCCCTTCCTCCCATCCCTTCTCCACATCCTGTCTTCCCGGCACAGCCCGTGAGCAGCCTGGAGCCTTGCACAAAACCCACAATTGTCCTTTAGAATCCGAAACCAGAAATCCTCCCCGTTTTCTTTCTTTTTCTTTAATCTGCTAAGCTCTTCCTTGGGCGCAGGGCTGCTGGAAGGAGCAGGTTTCAGCCTGGAAGTACCAGGGCATTTCACTAGGTTCCCTTGTCCCTGAGGACCTGCAAACTCATGACATTTGGGGAAAACTCCTCACTTTTTGTCATTTTACACATGAATTTTAAAGGCTTTGGTCCCACTTGAGAAGATGACGGCTCTGCAGAGACAGCACAGGAATGGACATTGCTGGACTAAGCCCAGCTTGGATAACAGGAATGCGGAGATGCCCAGTGGGAAAACTGAGGCTTAAACCCATTCCGTGTTGGAGGGAACAGCAGAAATACCTCATTGCAGGAGCCAAGTTCGGTGCTTTCCTTCACTGACCACCTCAACAACCCAAATCAGGGAAGTTTAAGCTCCCACTGTTTTTCCCGAGTTTTCCCCAAAGCTTTCCCAAGTTTATCGCTCGTCTTAAAGGGAATAAACGTGCTCCAGGAATCAGGGCACCCATCCAGAGCTTTTGATTTGTGGGCTGCATGGAGTCAAAAGGAGTTATCTTTATTTTAAGATGTTATCTCCCCGCTAAATGGACCCACATCCTAACCGCGTGTTGGCTTTCCTGTGGGAACAGAGCGTCTCCCTGCCCAGGGCACATCCTGCCCCGGGGCTGAAGCTGTCGAAATAGAAACCACCAGCAGTTCAGGGTACCAAAATGCTCAGGCCAATTCAAAGCAGGTTCCCAGGGCATAAAATCCAGGCAGAAAATCCTCACCTGGTCCAGGTATTTCTTCCATATCGGATCTGCGCTGTCTACCGAGAATTCATTCCAGCCGTGTTTGAGCCTGCGCTGCAGCACGGAGACCTCGGAGAGTCCGGTCTGCAAATCAACCTAGAGGGGAGCAAAACAGCCAGCGCTGTGCAGTCATCCCAGAAAACGGCTTGAGGAAAATCTGGGAACGTCAGGAAACTGTAGGACATAGGAAACTACTTCTGTTTGGGGATTTATTTCTATCAAACTATAAAACTTTACCGTCGTCCAGCACAAGAGCCCATAAAGGGAGCACAAGTTCATTAACAAAGCCTAGAGGTGGGGAGTCATAGATGAGGTGGCAAATTAAAAGTTGAAAACAGCAAAGGAAAGAACTGATTTCTTGTTTCACTGCATGTGGTGAGGAGGGACAAAAAGATCACGTCCTGAGAAAGTGCCCAGGGGACAAGTGGCAGCAAGATATATTATTGCCCGCATTAAAAGATGGCAACTTCCAACACCAAAATCACAACAAACGCCCGGGATGCGGCTCGGGCACAGCAGGTCCGAGGATTCGCCCCATGGCGAAGGGCGAAGTTTTCCACAGAACCAAGGAGGGATTTTGCAGCTCGGTCCCTCGGCCCGATCGCCCCTTCCCCAGGCCCTCACGTTCAAGGCTTTGGCCAGCTCTTCTTTCTGGCACTTGCAGGCATCCTTGGGGGGCAGGACGGCCACGTCCACCTCTTGCTCGAGGATTTTCAGCTCGCACTCCACACAGGTCTGAGGAAGAGAGATAAAGCAGCATTCAGGCAGCACCACAGTTAATAAAAGCATTTCAGTATCTCTCTGGTTCTTCTCTTAATCCTATTCCTTTCCCTTATCTTTTTGACCACGTGATTACACAATTAACTAAGGCCCTTCCTAAATCATGGCACTTTATAACATTTAGTAATTAAGCTTTGTGGCTGCCACAAAGCTCGGTGCATCTTATCTCTTCTCAGCAAGGAATATGGACATTAAACGACTTGGACACAAACGATATTGAACAGCAGCTGCGAGAGGCTCCGTCCCCTGCAAGAATTCAGAACAGATGCAACCGAGAAAGGGAAAAAGAGAAAAATAAGAAGAAAAAGAGGCTTTTACAGAAAGTTAAGAATACAAAACCTTCTTTCATAGCCGGGCAGGCTCAGGAGCCCCAGGCAGGGATTAGGGGCTGGTGGTATTTTCAGGGGATGGAGAAGGACACGCTCCAGCAGCCTGAAGCAGAAAGGGCTTTTTTGGCATATATACATTTTCTATACATATATAATACTTATATACACACTATTTATTTATGATAGAGATAAATGGAGTGCACCACAGAGGAGACGTGAAATAGCTCCTACTGCAGAGTAAAGTATCCAGCCCTTGCAGTGATTCCGGTGCCGCCTCCGGGGAAAGGTCGAGCTCGGATCTCCGTAGCTCCGGCTTCACAGGAATTAGGAGCCGGGTTACGGCAACGCAAACAAACCCAGCGCCGGGCTAGGAGGAGCTGGGGGTGCCGGCAGGCACCCTGCGCAGATAAGGGCTTTGCCCTGCCAACATCTCGCCTGGAACGAGGAAAACCTGTTTTTCCTCATTAAACACATAATGGGCTTAAACTTGCAAGAGGGGAAAAGTGAGCACAAGCTAAAAACCTTTATTGGGGCACTTGGTGCCTGCTTGTTCCTTGCTGGCTTGCGCAGGAGCCGTTTTACGCCGAGGACGCATGGGACGGCGCCCGCAGGGATCAACTTTGCGGGCGGCTCCGTCTCGGATGCGACGGCGGAGCCTGCGCTGCCGGGAAACGGGCCCCGGCGTCCTGGGAGTTCATCTGGATCGATCCGCTCCTGCCTGCGGGATTTGCCCCCTTCCGGGAGCCCAAGCCTGGATCCTCCAGCCCCTTTGCTCCATCATCAGAGCAGCCCGGGTCGAAGGGTGAATCCGCAGGGATCGCTGCAGAGCCCCAGGGCCGGCTGTGAGTTCTGGCGAGGGGCAGCGCTGGGATTTCCCCTCCGCAGCCTCCCCTGAGATTTTGCATATTTTTTTTCCTCCATTTTGGATTACTTTGGATTGATTAATACGTCGTAATCCAGGCAAGAGTGGCCTGGGCTGTTTAGCCCAAGCATTGACCAGAAACCCTGCTCTCATACATCCTTCACGGCTGCTAAAATCCAAGTCGGTCCTCAGCCCCAGCCCAGCGCCCAGGGGAGAACTGGGCTGACGTTAACTCCTCGCCTTCCCGAGACCCTCGGTCTGGGCTGGGATCCAGACCTTCCCTAAAGCTAAACCTAAGAAGAGAGAAATGCTGAGAGGTCCCCAGGTGATGGAGGCAGATCCAGGTGCCAAGACCTTTTCCAGCCTCTTCTGAGACATTAGAGGTGCTGCCAGCTTTTCTGTAGGAAAAGGAGCCACGTCGCAGCCAGCGTGAAGGGCTGGCACCACGTGCTGGTGTCACCAGGGACTCCAGACCGGCGCGGTGGCATCCGCAGCAGCTCCGCTCCCCCGGGAACCCCTCATCTTCATCCTCCTCCTCTCCGGCGCCGGCTCTTCCAGCCCACTCACACAGTGGATGCTGTGCAGCCACGGAGGATGTTAACGCGCCGTGTCCTGGGCAGCGGGACACGCAGATGGGAGCAATCTGGGTGCTCCTCACTCCTCTCTCCATGAAACATCTCTCCTTTAAGGAAATCTATATCCATATAGACTTCAGATTCAGGTTATTTCGTTGCTGTCTTTGCATCCTAGCAAAGGATGACAATCAGGCGGACATTGCCTTTCCTTCAGGAGGGCATTTCCCACTGAAAATTCCCACTGCTTCATGTTGCTTCTTACTTCCTAGGCCTGCAGCAAGAGCATGAGGCATTTCCCTGGCAGACCAGAAACGCAAAACGCCCCACGCAGACCAGAGCTCGGACTCCATGAGGCTGCGGATTTGGGCGTAAACACGAAATATTGTGGTGCAACAAACACAGTATTGCCAAGGAACAGGCTGAGCGCCGCTGGCTTCCAGGTTAGGTAAGGTCAGGAACGCGGCCTGGGGAAAAAGAACAGGCGCTCACGGGATGCAGCACGGGGTCCTCCTGGAGTACGGATGGTACCATTGGGATGGCGACAGGGATGAGCGCTACGTGCTGAAGGATGAACAGGTAATGTGGGAAGGCACCCTGCTCCAGCTGGGACGTGGGAGGAAGCGACAGGAGGGGGGAAAACAAGCAAATAAATCAAAATCCACATTCTCACATGAGCCTTGTCCAAGGGAAGCAGGCGGTCTCCAGCGCGGGCTCTGCTGAGAGCTGCTGTGGAGCCCTTCTGGGGTCACTCGCCGCGAGCTGTGACACTACTAGTGACACCGAGCGGGGCACGAGGACGGGACTGGCCACCGCAGCCACCCACGGTGCCACCGTGTGCCCGTGCTCACGCATCCCTAGCGGCCCTCCTCCTCCTCGGCCCTGCCCAGGGGCCGGTAGGCGCTGGGCACGCGGCGCCCGAGCGCGAGGAGGCCCCGTCCCGGCATGGCGCGAGGCCGCCCGCGCCAGCGCTGCTCAAATAGCCGGGCCCTTCCCTCCGCCCTCCCGCCGGGCAGGAGGAGCGTCACCGGTGCCACCTCTCCGGCGGCCGCCCAGCCTGTTCGGGGACTTCCAGCCCGGGAAACCTTGCACACGGCCTCTCTGCTTTGCGGCAGCGGGAGGTTTTCTCCATGGATTTTAGCACGTGGATGCAGAAGTTCAACATGAGCATCCCTCCTGGAGGATGCATCCCGCTGCCGGGGGATGTGGAGTTGCAGCCGGTTTCTCCCTCGTGTCCTCCCCTTCCCGCTCGAGCGGGATGTGGACATTCCTGGATGGCTGCAACACTCCTTCCCACGGGAAGGTGTCAGAGGACGATGTCCCGACTTGCCCAGCTGGGTGAAGCAAGGCCGGCGGCTGCACCCGGAGCTCGGGAGCGACCTGGAGCTTCCCGAGTCCCAAAGGCTCTCGGTGGTGAAACCTCCGCATGCTCCTGGGCACGGCAAGAGCTTCTCCCATTTATCCGAGCGGCTGGGATGAGGTCCACATGTTTTCCTGATGGGAAAGTGGTGAAAAACGTGGTTCTCACTGAACACTCCTACAAGATTGTGGCACAGGCTGCAGTTATATTTTAGGGCTGCCTCTGATCTCCAGCACTTGGGAAATCCTATGGATGAGTTGAGCATTTGTCCATCTAATAGCTCAGCACATGCTGGGATTGCATAAGGAGAATAATGTTAAGAAAGCGGCCTTAATACAACCGGTATTTCTTCATGCTGCCACAACATGTATAATTTGCATGCTAGTAAAGATGTAACGCAGCATATCCAGTAATTTGATAGCATTTCTTACTTAACTAACTGCAGAAATGCCAGTGTTTTAGCTGTAGAAGATTTTCCCCCCCACTACTAATTCCCATCTCATAAGTATCTCATAAATCAGGAGCAGACTGTCCAGGGCTGCAAATACCTGTCCTTAAACCATCATCACCACTGAATAACAAAGTGCAGGGCCAGACTCCAATTCCAAGTAGGTTACTTGGAAAAAAGAAAGTTTTTTTTTTCATTAATAAAAGCAGCTGTTTTAATATAATCATTTAATAAAACAGCAGCTAGAACAGCCATTGCTATGTAGCAGTGGTGCCTCACAGGAGTTTCTGGTGCCAGATTCCTTCCCCATAGCCAGGGGCTGTTACACTTCTGCTCCTCTTGTGCCACCTTGAGGGAAAAAAACCCCGGTGCATGGGCAGAATTTGCTGAATTTGCTGCAATTCCCACGTTCTGCCGTCATACACAGGTCGTATCCCTCCTGTGCAAGCCCCCACCACAAGGTATTCATGGGGAAGCATCCTGGTGGGATGTCCCAGGCAGGTGATCCAGCCCACCTGGCATCTCCGGGTCCAGATTCCCTTCCCAGGGCTCCTCTGTCCACAGGGAATGGGAACAGGGAGCATTTTAGCTGGAGGAGCCACTTTGAATGCTGTATTCACCATGGGCAGGTGGTAGCTGCAACCCTGGCAGCATTTCCAGGGAAAAGCCTAACCCGAGCGCACAGTGCAACATGGGAGAAGTAAACAGCCACGAAAATGAACAAATTCCATCCATACCGAGTGGGAAAAGAAACCACCAGTCTCCGAGGACACTGCCATGGCTTGTCTCTCTGCTCATGAGGCCACGGGACAGCTTTCCCAATGCAACAAAAATGCAATCCTTCACCATGGAGCTCTGAACAGGAAAGCTCAATGTTACAGGGTTGTTTTTGCTTTAGCTTCATACCTGCAAGTTCTGTAGATCTGGAGCTGCCCTCTGGAGTTTCAGTGCAGGCTCTCAGAGATGACCCCAGGTTACAGTCCCAAAAGTTACTTCAAGAGTAAAAAAAAACATCTTCCAAGCTGAAGCACCAACATTTCCTACTCATTTGGGCCTTTTGCAAGGAAGGGTAAACAAACACCGTTGCTAGAGGACGTTGTCATACTCGTGATCGAGGAGCTGCACAAGATTCAAGAGCAACCATGATGGCTACTGTTGTCTCCTGGGGCCACCAGCTGTTTTACATCATATTTGATGCCTTGACCCAAACTGAACTGAATTAACACAGCTGAGAGACAGTTCCTGCTTGTAGCTCTGCTAGAACATTTCCCTTTGCTGAGTTCACAGGTGCTCTTAGAGCAATGTAGTGTCTGCTGCATAAAAAAGAAGTGTGCTAAAAGATGAAGGCTCCTGTGCCCTGGAGAACTTTATTGCACCTGCCCTACTCTCAAGAGCCACTATCAGGGCAAAGTGTTACCTGCACCGAGGTGCTCAGTGCTCAGCACCACGTATTAAACAATTATTTTACATAATTTAAAGCCAGGTTTATGCCAAGAATACACAACCAAGACTGGGCATAGTTGAAAAATAGACTGGACACTTTTTATTGAGCACCAAAGTCGCAGGACGTGCGCGTGTCTGGAGAGCACGTGCACAGAGCATCGCTAGCACCCAGCGTGGAGAGGTTACCCTAGCACCAAACATGCTGTAAAATGTACACAGGAACACCAAAAAGAACCCCTACACCTCTACATTTGTGATTTCTTACTGTGCTTCCTAAGGTTGATGTTCAGCCACTTTGTTTGGAGAAAATAAGATCACGAGAATTCTTTCAGTCTGCTTTTTTTTTCCTTTTTTTCCTGAAGCGTGGTGGAACTTCAAGGCTGAAAACACATTGTTTATAGATGTTTCTTCCAAAGGCTTTGTTTCTCAGTTTGGATAGTAACAAGAACGTGGAAAAACAAACAAACAAACAAAAACATTATAGCACCACTAGGAAGGGTGATGTCCAGTAAACAGAAATTCAGGATCTGACTTTTCTGAAAATAAACACGCTGTAAAAAAACCCAAGCTGTTTCACCAAGCAGCATCTGGGTGCAAGACTTGCATTTTTGTCTACAAGCTGCAGTGTTTTAAGACATCAAGTAATGTCACTCCAAAAAAGGCAAGTTTCTGGCCTCAGCTAAGACTGGGACTATGAAATACGGGCTCCTGCTTTTTTAACAGGAGTTAAGAAACCACTGTGATAAGACATATATGATAATATTCTAGAAAGAGGCCTGTGCAAATATGACGTTGCACTTGACACATGGAAGAAAGCACAGAGAAATGTAGGGAGTTAAATGGATGGAGATATTCAGGGAAAGGTGGAGCCCTCGGTTTGTTCCTTTGCACTGTAAAGCACCGAGGAATGTGTCTGTGTATGCAAGGAAAGAGCAAACGCAGTTTGGTAGCTTTTATATCGCCAGCTGCAAATGCCATATGCAACGTATTGAGTGTTTTAGAGGTGCCTTTTCGACCTAAACTGCTTGGTGAATTGAAAAAAACTTGTAGTTTGTAGGTTAAAGCAAGCACTTGTATTTGTGGATCGGGTATTTACATGTGCTCTGTATAGAAAAATGTTAATTATATGACTGCAGATGGGGACATGTGCTAAAGAAGGGAGCAAAAATGACTTCTTTTACCTACTGATTCTGGCAGATCCATCCAAACAGACTGCTGCTGTCCCTTTAGGGAGCTGCCATGGGAAGGAAAACATACACAGAAAAAATGTTTTCCATTTTATAAAACTAAGCATTTTTTTAAAAAAGGCTGCAAGGCCCAAAGACAAATAACTTGTCCTTAAGGATTTGTGGAAGTGAACATAAAGGGCCAGGACTTCTATGGTGCAGCTGTCTTTCTGCCAGACAATCTTTTTAATCACACATTTTTGTCGTGCTTTGGCTTTTCTAATATTCACAATATATACCCAGGCTTCAGTCCCTCCGTTGAGGTTTTGCAGGTACAAAAATACAGATGTATACTTGGTGAGTATAAACTGAACTGGCTAAAAATAGCAGCTTAAAAAAGCTGGCACATCCATGCCTCAAACTGCTTAGATGTTGTAGGAAGAAATCCATTCCATCGTTGGCTTTTGATCTACAGCTCACCAGAGAGGGGAATTTAAGTAAAGCAACTGGATAAAGCCAGGATAAAATTTGTTTTGCTCCTAGCTCAGACTTTCTCAACTCTTAAGATATTAGACTTGCTGCCTGGGTGTGAAGTAGGAGAATCTCAGGCATAAACCCCCAAAATAAGAAGAAACTTGCAGGATTAGGTGAAACAGTTGCTTGAGCAAGGCAGGGACTGGATTTGACCCTAGGGGCACTTTCACTGCTACAATCTCACTTATTTAATATAACTTAGTTATAATAGTCAGGTCTGATTCTCACACTACTTCCTCCCTTTTTATGCTACTGAATAACATTTGGGATGGGGGAATTGGCATCAGCCACCTCTTTGCTGGCCCCTGAGCCACATCGAGGGCTTGTAGAGAGCAGTGCGACCTGCTCACGCTTCACCTGCAGAAGGGCAGCTCATAAGGGGGGAGGATTTTTTCAGGGGATCACATTGCTCCCTCCATCAATAGGCTTGAAATCTAGATTCACGTTTTTCCTTGCATAGTGAGGTCCTTTTGACACCGGTGGGCAGGGACAGGGCAGTGCTGGAGATGTGCTCTTGGAGACTCAGGGCTGGCATCCTTCCAAAACAGACAACTAGAGGGTAAATCATTCCTTGAAAGCTGCTTAGCAGAGTAGTCCAGCTGGATGGAAAACAAAAGAAAGAATTAAAATATTTACCCTTGCTGGGATGTTTGCACAGAGCTTGTCCTTACGCAGCCACGCAATCTCCACAGCGGCCCTGACGTCAGCACAAGAAGGACGTGCTCTGCTTTAGTGCCTGCAGCCAAGCTCCAGCTGGCTTTAGAGTGGAGCTTGAAGGGCTGAGAAAACCATCTTAGGGCAGAATCTTTGCTACAGCAAATGTTTTCACTCTTGCCTAATTCGAAGCCTGATAAAATCATTGGAGCTCTTTTAGTTGGCTTTGGTCTGCTCAGATACAACTACCTTTATGCGCAGGAGTGGGTCACACTGTTCAGTGAAGCTGTTGACACACATAAAGCTACCACACGAAGCCACTCTTCTGTCTAAGTTTTTGTATGACTGACCCTATTGAAATCATTTTTTTCCCCATAATTTAATTTAATTTAATTCTTCCCTTTTTTTTTAGTACTTAATGCAGATATCTGCTTTAAAATAGGATCCTAGACATGCCGCCTGAGAATTAAATAAAACATACCCAAAATTCCTAAACACACCTGACATGCTGGATGAGATCATCTCCATTTAAATGACTTTTTTTTCTTCCCTAAATTGTGATGATCACAAAATTTTGCAGCATTTATTTTTCATCCTGAAAATCATTCCATCCTCTGTGGACTCAAAAAGCCAGGGTTTCCCAAAGTAATCAGGTGCATTTTATAAAATCAAAATTAAAAGTGAAAAAGGAAAAGATGGGAAAGACACAGCCTTCTCCCTGGGCAGTTTGCAGTGCCAAGGATCCTGAGACCCTTGTCACCTGCATGGGTGTAGGGTGCTGCTCTAAGTTACCTTGGTGATTTCAACTCAAACAACTATTTCTTTCAATAATTGCATCCTCAGCACCAGCTTTTTTCACCTAGGTGTCCCTTTATTCTCAGGGCACTTACCCGGGAGCACCTTGGATTAGCCCAGATGCTTCTGCTGGTTTTTCACGTAGCCGACCACGTTGTTGGAACTGCCCCCTGCAAAACGAATCCCGGCAGAGTTATTTTTGTGTCGAAAATACATTTTTTACACTTGTGTCGAAATCTGTGGGTGGAAGGAGAAAAGGAGACACTGGCACTTCTACCCTCCCAAGACCTTGAGGCAACTCTGATTAGACCCAGTGACTCACTAGGTTATTTGCTTTCACCAGAAAGTACTTTGTAGTTTCTCTCCCTTTGCACCAGCAGCTTCCTCCTGTATGAATATTTACACAGGCATTTCCTATTCTTCCTGTCCTTCAACCTCTGTTGATACAGTGCCTTCAATAAAAAATGAGAGGCTGCTGGTGTGCTGAGACTCATCCATTTCTAGATGAGCAAGATAGTCTCTGGTGTCTACATCCACATGTTTTCTCTCCTCCATACTTCGAATTCAGAAATCAGCCATGAATACATTTAAATTGGAAATCAGGAGCTTTCTATCCACCCGAGCAGAGAGTTTCTGGAAGATGGTGCTACTAGAAGCTGATCTACCAGTTCGTGGAGGGACCTGACACCTGATGTGGTTGCAGAAAACAGCGAGGGACTGACTCAATGGGCACTGGACTTCTTTTATCCTCACCCCAATACTCAAAGCAAGCTCTTGGTAGGAGATTCTTTCTTGACTGAGTTTTGTGTTCCCCAAAAATGCACTTAAAAATAATCCCATGGTATTTTAGGATGGGGTATTCCTCACCCCATGGGTAGGAGTCCTGGGAGACAGCTATATCATTTAATGCAGTCACCAAGAGCCCACTCAGGGCACTGCACTTCTTAGAGTAAGATCATGGAAAGCTGAGATTAAAGAACCTCTTTTGCTATGCACAGACTTTCATTTCATAAGCAGCAAATCCCCTTTGTGCAATGTGAACACTGCAAAGCCTCGCGATAGTAAACACTTCATGCCAACAGCTTACCAAAATACTCCTTGTAATACTTATGCCTCAGGTTACGACCATCTGAAAAAGAGGGAACGTAATGAGAACATACCCAGCCAGCCTTCACTGTGTGTGTTAAACGCCGTGCACAGCACAGAAAAGTTATAGATATGGGAATAACCTGACGTAGACATCCAGAAACGCTATAAACTTCTTATAAATCTGTTTATGTTCTTGAACTATGCAGTCGTGGTTCACTCTCTTGCGAGTGGTTAACTGCTGATCACGAGATGCTTATGTCCTTTTTGGGAGTTATCAGCTAAGGAATCACTGATTTTCTCAAATTAAAGAAAACTTCTGCACAATATCAGACCAGCTATAAGAGGCCTGTAAAGTTCAAGCTCCAGTTAAGTCTTTTCTGTTCAACATTTATATTGCTATTTAAACTCTCAGAAATGCCTTAAGCTCAAAAAACACCTATATGGATATACATTCCATTACTTATTATGGACTTATTTAAATGAAAAAAAATTAAAACAAACAAACATACAAACAAAAACATTCCAAAAGCTATAAATGGAAGATTACTTAGTCTTTTAAAGACATGGTTCAGAGATCTGGTTTGATGCTTCCCTTGGCTTTTACAGTGTCCAAATGGCAAAAATGACCTCTCATGTTGCTACATTAAGATGACTTGTAGGCTAGTTTAAACACACATACCCCCCTTGTCAATAAAGTCACACACATCTGGACAGGCGATGAACTACTCTGGAAAATACTTGTCCAACAGAAGCTCCTTTATTGGGCAAATGTGTTTATAGAGAAAAAATCAGGAATCATGTTTTGGATGCATTAGGCAAGGTCTGAAGGCAGAACTGGAATTTGAGACTTATCACTGCTTAATGAAGTGTGCAATAGTATTATAAATACTTCTATTTACTGTGCAGCTAAATAAAGGGACATGCAGGTCGCTACCCGCTCTGCCTGCACTGTTGCAGAGGGGACAAACACGCGTGGTGTCCCCTTCCTTGGGTAGCTCACACAGCTCAGCTACTGCCAAGGGCATTGGAGACTTCAGCCAAGCGAGGCCGATTTCTGCAGAGTCCTGGGGCTCTGCACTTTGGCCCAGGCTAGTGTAGGTCACAAAAACAGATGCTCCCAAGTGACTTCAATGACATACTGGCACCTAATCGTCCTCGGTGAGGTCGCTTTTTGCCCTGGCATTCATGCAGAGTCCACCAGGTCTGCTTTAGAGCCTGTGAGCCATGTCTTACCCCATTTGCATGACAGAATGAACAAAAAGAAGGGTCATTTGCAGGCATCTGACCTGGATTTCCACGCAGCTTGATGCACTGGCCCCTGTTGGGGATTCCCTCGGCCGTGTTGCCGGGGTTGATGATGTGGCACTCGTATCCCGTGGGGCAGTGCAGAGGCTCATCGCCATCCTCAGTGGTGCTGCAGGCCTCGGCTGGAAAAGAAGCCCACAGGTCACACACCTCAGTGTTACCACCTCGGTGTTGGCCACAATGCACCAACGTGGCCAAACCCTTCTGCATCTCCTCCCAGAGGAGGTCTTCACTCCTTTCCAAGCAGGATAGCAAAGAGCTGGCACATGCAGAGAAGCCTGGCAGCGCCAATTTACCCCTGACATAAGACCTGCAGCTGCAAATCTCTTGTTACTGGTGTTTAGGGCTGGGAGAGGAATCAGGGAAAATCCACCAGGAAACTGGACTTTACTGCTTTGTTCTTTGCTCCACACCCATTTGCTCCCTGGCAAATCTAAACCCTGGATGTGACTCATGGTGGGGAAAGGCAGTGCCAGCCCTGCTACAAACATGGGCACTGATCACCTTGACCCCTGGTCTGTAGCAGCTGGGGAGCACACTGAGAAAACACAGCAGGACTCATGGCTGGTATCTGTGTATATTAAATACAGACACTGTGCAGAGACTCCCCCCTTCCTTTGCTGGGATTTTAATTTTGGGGACTCCTGCTGCAAGTCTGATGCCATGGCTCATGGTTCTTCTTCCACTAACTGGTCCATTGAACTGTGCTAAGGATGATAAAATGAGATCAAATAGTATAAGCATGACAGGAGTGGGTGAAAAGGGACCTGCTTTATCTGTCAGGGTGACTCCAGTGAGCTGCAGGATGAATTTTCTCTTGAAGAACTAGGAGTTTCCACAGCAGATAAGAACAAAGTGAGTCTGGGGCTACTGCGTAAGACTGGATGTCAGAGAAATCCTGGCCAGGAGTAGTATAACTCTTAGAGGATTTTCTTCATTATTGGAATTCAAAACCTTTACAAAAGAGGAGAGTATAATTCTGCCCCTTTTTCTATATGGGGCAATTGTGGCACATGGTGAGGCAATGTGTTCTGGATCTCCCTGTTGAGCCCTGTTGGGGCTCAGGCAAGATTGGAACTCAGATCTTTTTCTTTTTTTATATATAATTATGTACTGAGAGGGAAAGTCTCTCCCAGGTGCTGCTCCCCTCCTGTATGAAGGGCACCTGCAGCTCCTCTGCCTGGCATCCTGCCCTTGAGGGTAACGCCAAACTTGTGCTGCCTTTCCAGGTATTTTCAATCCATCCCTGGCTCATAAATTCCTCTGACATGAATCAAAACTTCATGCACAGCCAGCTGCTACTTAGGCACCTGAAAGAAGGGCAGAAGAGCTGAGTTTTGCCTCTGCTCTGGAGGTTTTCAGATAAAACAGCCATGTTTCAGATAAAACAGCCAAGCCCTTTGAGTTTAGCTGCAACATGACAGTCACTTTGAAAGCTGGGCTGTCACCTCTGCACTGTTGATGTGCCCAAACCCTGTTGCTGTGTGGCCTGCTGCATTTTCTATCTTTACTGAGCAATTTGCTCACTTTCCATTCCAACCGCTTGACTACATCTGCATACATCCCTGCCTCTTCCCACCTCCTTGCAAGTCTGCCTGGGAAGAAAACCTATGTATTAGGGAGCTGGAAGAAAATCTATGTATGTTGACAAAGCTTTCTTCTAAAAAATGTAGATGCTTCTACTGATTTCAAAAATGGAAAAAAAATCAGTGCTACTGATTGTTTTGACTAGTGTCCACAGTGCTTGATGGTCTCTGGGCTTTCCTCCATGTGTGTATCTTGTGCCCTCTTCCACCACACAGGGTTAATTCCATGGAAACTCCAGACAAACACCAGAAGCCCCAAACATCCCTGTCAAGCCTCTATGTGATGAATATATTACTTTCCAAACTAGTGCCTTTGGTATAACAGTGTTCAATTACTCACATTGCAGAGAAGACTCTTTGTCAAATGTACTGTACCTTGTAGGACCTCCTCAGGGCCATCCAAAAGCCACCCATTTCCTCCCAGCCAGCGGGGTTTGGGCTGAACCAGCCAGTCTAAAACTGCAACAGACACAAACAAGCAAACCACAAACAGTCAAGCAGAATTGGCCCTAGGGCACAGAGTTATTAAAAAGTCACTGCAACCAGTGATGAGGCTGCCAGGCTCCCGTAGGACAGATTTGGCTGGCAGTTTTGTAGCAAGGTGTTCATATTCGTGTTCCTGTTGTCCCAGTGGTGCAACAACACGGATGTCACACAGGGCCCCAAGACCCTGGTCATAAAAGCCAAAGAAACTGTTGCTTCTCATCCTCTTTTCACAAGGCATGGATGAGATGAGATGGTTGTAGCTTCCTGGCTTCAACGAGCCCTTCCTCAGATCGAGGGTTCTTTACCTGAATATACTCCCAGGAAAAGAACTGGCATCATAGACTTATACCATTTGTACTGGTGGAAATTCTGCAGTACCCACTGACCTAGACTAATTCCACCCTCTTGACTCAAGACTCATCACAGCTCCAGGAAATCAGAGCTCACGCGGCTGAACTTCCATCCTCGACCCCCACGGAAACACGTCCTAACTGAGACCAGATGCCCGCGGGGCCCGGCTGCCCTGATCCTTCCGTGTCTCTGGGTGTTTCTCCCCGTTGCAGGTGCATGGCCGTGTCCCCCCTACCTGGCGGTGGCTGCACGGACTCCAGGCAGGCGTAGATGCAGCCGTTGTAGCAGCAGCGCTTGTGCCTCTCGCACTCCGAGTCCGAGCGGCAGCTGGGCACCTCGCAGGCTCTCTCGGGCAGGGTCTGGGGCGGCGGGGGGCAGCGGTCGTTCTTCTGGTAGTGGGCACTGTGAGAATGAAGAGGGTACTCATAATCCTTGCAAAGAAAAGAAAAGGAAACAGAGGTTTGGCGTAAGGCGAGTACCAATCTTGCCGTTGGCTAAGCAGGAGAGGGAATTCCCTGCAGCCTCCGGGTAGTCACGAGGCAGGAGAATTAACTGCTTAGTGCCCCTATGATACACTGCAGGGAGAGCTTATGACCTTGTACTTTATGTTTCCATAAGGTTATGTTTCCAAAGAGCCCTGGAGCTGATGTCCTGGGCAGTGACCATCTCCTGAACAGGCTCTTTCTCCTATTTTCACTCT